TACATTTAAATATAAATAAAAAGAGAAAAGAAATTTTTGAATGCACACTGACCTTATATATATATATATATATAAGGTCAGTGTACTGACCTATTGATACTGACTATATATATATATATATATATATATATATATATATATATATATATATATATATTTAATGTTTAATGAACAAAAGAATCCATATCTTCTCATGTGATGATAGATAAATAAAAACCGGAACTATATTTTTAAGAACACAACGATAACAAAGTTCAAAGAACTGTATGTTACAGAGATAACACTTATTTTAATCCAAATTTTTATAGAGCAGCCTGATTATTTTGTTGACACAACGATGCCAGACATATATTTGGTCTTATTAATAATACATCATCAAGTCAAGTGAGGAACTACAGTATAAATGGAGAAAGTGAAGTGTTCCCGAGATATTTTTTTACAGTCTAAAAGTTGACGTTAACACGTGAAATTTTAGATTTAGGCTCATGGTGTTTTTTTTTATAGGTGAAAATGGTATGGTAACCCCGCCTGCGCTAGCGGGATGCGCTGGCGAGGCACCAGTGAAGGGTGATAGATGAGAATGAAAACAGGCCAGTTAGCCTATCATGATGAATTCATCAGGAATTAACCAGGATAGTTTCCAGGAGGAACCGCGAGGAGGTCGACATTGTTGAGTATATTGCTAACAATGGGATTCTCAGTCTCCATTGCTAACAATCCCTTTCCTCCCTATAATATAGAGTACAATTACTCGAAATAACGTACAATACTTTATTATAAAGTATGGGTGGCAACCCTACTAACGGTTCAGAACTAAATCCGCAAAAAACCGAATATCGCACGCGAACAATGTCTTTGACAAAATCTAGTTTATAGAACAAAATAGTAAATATAAAAAGCTACAAAATTACATTTAGCTATATAATAACCGTGTTAACGCTGCGTCCTCTTGCGGCGACTTATAAAACCTTTCATCGGGGGGTGCGTGCCACATTCGCGCCCTTATTTTAGTTTTTGTTTCATCTGTAGTTAGTAGATGGCTCTACGGTCGCAAAAGCAATTATTCGTCCTATTTTTCAATAGACTTCAAAAATAAGAAGGTATCTTAATTCCATTCTTTATTTTTTTTTATCTTTTATGGACCAATTTTTTTATATTTATCTGTGGAGATGATAGGTGAGAATGAAAAGGCAGGTTCCTTTTTTTAATAGGTGATACTGGAATGGTAACCCCGCCTGCGCTATCGGTATACACTGGCGGGGTACCAGTGAGAGATGTTTTGTGAGGATGAAAAGGCAGGTCAGTTAGCCCATCATGACAAATTCAACGATAAATTAGTCACGATGGTTTCCAGGGGGGACCACGTGGAGGTCAACCTGATAAGGCATATTGAAAGCGATGGGGACTAATCTTCCCATTACTAACAATCCCTTCCCCCTGAAAAGACAGGTCAGTTAGCCCATTGTAATAAATGCACCTGGAATTCAGCACGTTTTCCAGGCGGGACCACGTGGGGGTCGACCTGACAGGCTATATAGCTATTGTATATTCTATATGATGTTTATATAATACAATTAACAGTACAATACTAATTGTATTAAAAAAATGTATAGAATCTCTTATCATCATCATCATCATCATCATATCAGCCTTTACTGTCCAATGCTGAACATAAGCCTTCCTTTTGAAGGGTTTTGCCAGTAGTTGCCACATTTGGCAAGCGGATTGGCAACCGCAGTCAGGCTTTAGATATGTTTTAAGAGGAACGCTGCTGCCCATCCCTCGCACTCCCTTAATCGCGTCTTACGACACCCACAAGAAAGGAAGGGGTGGCTTATTCTATGCCAGGACCACACGGCCAAGAAATAGAGGTATTAGACTATATTTCTGCTCTTTACCATTCAATTAGATATTTTGGAAACCACACCGAGTCCACAGACACTACTACACACAACTGTTCCGTGTAACGACGCCACACAAACAAATGAGCGAATTTGTTTCTTAGACCCCCATCCACTAAAATTATTTATTACACTGTTCTAATCTAATATATAAAATTCTCGTGTCTCGGTGTTTGTTATCAAACTCCTCCGTAACGGCTTTACCGATTTTTATGAAATTTTATGTGCATATCGGGTAGGTCTGAGAATCGGCCAACATCTATTTTTCATACCCCTCAATGATAAGGGTGACCCACCCCGAATTTCTTTTTTAATTTTTTTAACAACAATTTTTATTTTTATTTTATTATGATTTAGCATTGAAAAATACATACAAATTCAAATTATCACCCTTTTACGTTCAACCCCTGTTTTTTAATCGCGATTTTTATATGCTGCAATAGGGTTGCAAAATGGCAATCGAATATAATAATTGTAGTACGATAAATTTTCATGTATAGTTCTAGAAGTAATGTATATGGTAAAACAACGTTTGCCGAGTCAGCTAGTATTAATATAGAAAAATCCCATATAACGATATCCGTTCACGTTTATCTCCGAAATTACTTAACGGATTTTAATAAAATTTTATAAATAGGTATTTGCTTCAAACTATAGATAGATAGATAGATACTCTTTATTGTTTCTTATAAAAGATTACAATAGTAAACTTATTATAAATATAAATAATTACAAGAAATAATCACAGTGAGAGAACAATGGGCGACCTTATCGCTAAGAGCGATCTCTTCCGGGTAACTTATAAAAAAGATCTATATGCATATACATTTATATTTACAGGAATGGGTAAAATATAATTAATCATAACTTAAAATTGAGTGGCAGGACACATGCTTATTTACTTAGGCAGACATATTTCTTTTATGATAACCAATTATGAAGACTGTTACTATTTTTTAAACTTATGTTCACTTTTCGTTACGGCGGCTTGTTATTTACCATTATATATGTAAACAGACAACAAGACTATTATTAAATTTAATTATTTTGTATATTATCAAGTTATACAATGTTTTATACTGTACAGGTGAGCGATTTTTTTTTTATTTAATCAGAAATTCTAGATAGATAGATAGATAATTTATTTACATTAATTACAGCACACAAATTACAATAAAAAAAACATACACATAATACACAGTAAAAGAGATAATAGAATGAAAATAAAAAGCACAAAACAAAAAAAAACAAATATATAAACTAACACTCTCCTTTCTTTCCCTTCCTTCATGCGTGTGCCATAGTAACACAAAATGGTCACAACTCAGTTTATTGCTTTGCCCTTAAAAGAGCAAAACACTGATATTCTGTTGTAGCCAAGAGTTTATCAAACTACGTAGAAAAATGCTTTATCCAAAACCTTTTTTTTTAATAATATAACAAGTCTTTATCATAATACTTGTGCTAGGCAATGTATCTGTTCAATAACAAATGGTCCAACAAATAGAAATTCAACTACCACCACTTGACCAGAGGGAGACTGTACAAAAGTCGTTTGCTTGGGTACCTCTGTCCCATTCGTGTTTCAACCGTGAAGCAGTTGTGTTTGCATAACTGTGTTTCGGTTTGAAGGATGGGATATGGCGTGAAATTACTGGGTACAGAGGAATAACACCTGAGTCCTCAGGAATGGTAACGCATGGGGGGTATCATGAGCGAAACAGTATACTCTGTTATGTCCATGGTATTGCTCATGTCTATAGGCGACGGTTACCACTTTCCATCAGGTGGGCCGTCAGCTTGTTTGCCATGCTAAGTTGTATAAAAAAAAATACTAAAACTATGATGAATTTATAAGTACGAGTATTTCATACCTATGGATGTAAATGTAAAACGAGCTACGTTGTCTCACCCCTTTTAACAACCCACCTTTGCTTTCCATTCACTAATTACTGACGGACGGTGGTATAGGGCCGTAACCTAGATATTAAAAAAAAATTGTTTATCTATACAATTAACAATAACATTTTTAAATGAATTTTAAAGCTAAACATGTAAATCTTAGAGCGTTGCATTGATAGTCCACTGTATCTTTTTTTATACAACTTAGAATGGCAAACAAGCTGACGGCCCACCTGATGGAAAGTGGTAACCGTCGCCTATAGACATGAGCAGTACCATGGACAGAACAGAGTATACTGTTTCGCCCATGATACCCTCCATGCGTTGCCATTCCTGAGGACTCAGGTGTTATTCCTCTGTATCCTGTAAATTCACGCCATATCCCACCCTTCAAACCGAAACACAGCCATGCAAACACAACTGCTTCACGGTAGAAACACGAATGGGACAGAGGTGCCCAAGCAATCGAAGTAGTTGAAAACATGTGGAGAAAAGCTATATATATATATATATATATATATATATATATATATATATATATATATATATATATACATTATCATCATATTAGCCGTCTACTATTCGCTGCTAAAATCATAGGCCTCCTCAAAAGAATAGGTTTTATCAATAATTGTCACGCTTGGCAGTTGGATTGATAGCTTTGGTTCATTTCCAAGCCCTCGACCACTAAGATTCATTAGTCGCCTCTTAGAGGAAGCTATTCGAAGGTGTAGCCTATTCTATGTCGAAACGTTACGACAATGGATATTATAGGACATTACAATCGTGGTCTTGAAACGTCTTATTTTTTTTACAAATTAAATGTGATTATTTTTTAAGAATATCTTGAAAAATTACAGTCAGGTAATTTTTGTACATTACACGTCCTCTAATGATAAACAAGATCCCGCTAAAGCCCATAAACAACGTTCAACACGCAACGCACGCAACGGGAGCAACTTCAAAAAAATTCTAAACAGCAAATTAAAAAGTCATTACCGTTACATATGTATATATATATTTTTTTAATTCCTTAATTTAACCATCCTACTAATTCAACCACTTAATTGCAGTGCTCACGTCATTCTAATCAGGATAATAGCATGCAAACAATAACGTAATACAATGGTAATTTAAATATTGGGACTTACACCTCTTTGTCGGGCGGCGCGCCATCAGGCACCGCGCGAACTGTTACTGTTAACTGTTAACTTCTGTCAGTCGTCACACAGCTGTACTCACTACAACATGGACAAGGTAATTAATTGCAATAGTAAAATTTTTTTATTGCCTAACATTTAATTAAAGACTTACAATCATTAATACATCCACGGAATGCTTCCCTAAACGTGTATTAAGTTTATTCGGTTCGCCATTTTAAAAATAGACATTCACTGCTTTTTATTTACTATTCATATACTTTATTTTTATTTTTTATCATAATTATGTGAAATATATAATAGGTTGTTAGGATTATTACCTAAGCTTTATTTTTAACGGGCTTCAAAAATAAGTAAGTATTGTATTGTAAAATCTTTATTGTACATAACTCAGATTAAACACTGGTAAATGATTTAATATACAAGTATGTATCTAAGACACATAGTCTAAAACTCCATATGTTTACATTTAATGTATAGTTTTTTTATTTAATTGATTTTTGCTTTATGTTTATTACCTCTTAACTCTGTCAGTTGTAAACCGATTAAAAAAAAATCACTTTTTATCTGTTAGAATATACTCGTACTTGCAGATTAGTTCCAGAGAAATTTTATCAAAATTAGTTGAGAGATATAGTTTTTAGATGAAAATAACTGGTTTTCTCACATTTGAAGTCGATTCCTTTTGTGCGATAGAACCATTAATTATAAAGAGTTAACATAAAGTAGAAATTTTATCTAATAAATAAGTTAAATATCTTAAATTAAGGATTAACTTGCGGTCCTAAGTAAAAGCCATGATATACTAACTACGGTTAATTCTTAACGCCATTATTCATGAATAAGTTTATATCGGCTTCAAATACTAAATTATATATGTATGTTTATGTATTGTAATCTTATTTTTATATTTTTTTTTATACAACTTAGAATGGCAAACAAGCTGACGGCCCACCTGATGGAAAGTGGTAACCGTCGCCTATAGACATGAGCAGTACCATGGACATAACAGAGTATACTGTTTCGCCCATGATACCCCCAAGCGTTGCCATTCCTGAGGACTCAGGTGTTATTCCTCTGTACCCAGTAAATTCACGCCATATCCCTTTAAACCGAAACACATATTATATTTTATATTTAGAATATTTTGCATTTTGTTTGATTCCTTTTATGTATTTACTGTGTCTGACTTGCGCCATCTACCTTTCTCTCTGAATTTATCCATTCTTCATGCCAGGTTGTCCGTAAGAAATTGCTTTTAGCGATAAGGCCGCCTTTTGTATATGCACATTCTGTATAAATACTCCTTGTATAAATCTCTACTGTGCGCAATAAAGAGTTTATTATTATTATTATTATGTTCTAAACTAGTTACTTGCCCCGGCTTCGCACAAATGTAAAGTGTGTGAAATTCACAAATGAGATCTCCCATCTCTATTCTATCTCACTCACTCACCTTTTCATATATAGATTTTTAACCCAATTTTATTTTTCACTTATTCATACGATTTTTTTAAACATTTTATTCCGTATAAGGTCCTGACAATTATTCACATAACAAAAAAACTTAACCAAATAAGGCGCTTATATGGCTGCACCTAAAATGATGCGCTCACAAGCATTCGACAATTAATTTTTATTTACATATAATTTAAAAATTAAATACGAAAGCAATAGTTTGTAATTCTTTAGTATTCTTATTATTACGTACTGTTGTTAGAATATAAATGATCAATAAAATCCATGCGAAGCCCACGGACTGCTAATGAGGTGGACAAAATACTGCGAACATATGTATGCGATATTATGTATGCCTTAAATTATTAGATATTTTACCAGAGGGAGACTTTGTACAAAAGTCGATTGCTTGGGTACCTCTGTCCCATTCGTGTTTTTACCATGAAGCAGTTGTGTTTGCATAACTGTGTTTCGGTTTGAAACGTGGGATGTGGCGTGAATTTACTGGGTACAGAGTAATAACACCTGAGTCCTCAGGAATGGCAACGCATGGGTATCATGGGCGAAACAGTATACTCTGTTATGTCCATGGTACTGCTCATGTCTATAGGCGACGGTTACCACTTTCCATCAGGTGGGCCGTCAGCTTGTTTGCCATTCTAAGTTGTATAAAAAAAATTATATAGATAGAGTCTCTCCATACAAATGCTTCGAGAAAAACGGGTCATCTTTTTCATACAATTTTGCGTGATAAATAGATATGAGTGATTCCTTTATGACTTCTATATTTATTTTGCCTTATAATTTCTGCATCTTTTCAATGTGTAAAGACTAATTTTATTTATTAAATAATAAGTCAAGATACGAGTCGAAAAAAAAGCGAGCCAGCTAATTGTTAATTTTTTTTACAACATAGGTGGCAAACGAGCATGCGGCTCACCTGATGGTAAGTGATTACCGCCGCCCATGATCACCCACAACACCAGCGGCATTGCAGGTGTGCTGCCGGCCTTTTAAAAAGGAATATACTCTTTTCTTAGCTGACTCGCATGTAAATAGATGAATTGATTGATTGACTTCATTAATCAACGATATGATTGACCGCTGATTGAAAATAACCATTGATATGCTGCAAAATGGATGTCACAGTATATGCTATGACTTTCATGGTATGGCTTATAATTTGTAAAGGACTAATGTTTTATTTTGTACCTTTTAATTTTATTATCAGAACTCAGTTTCATTTGTCACAAATCTTTAAATCTATATACACGCGGTTCACAATAGTTGATCTTATAAATATCATGTAAAATGAAAATTCTACTACCAACCTTCCCGGAAATCATATGGAAACCATCATCACGATGGGCGAATTGATCTGCTTTCATTATCACCTATCATCTCTTACTGGTAGTCCACCAGCGTATACCGATAGCTCAGGCAAGGTTTCCGTTTTATTATATATTTTTATTAATTTATTTTACAAATTATATAAGTAAGATAATATATTTATTTATTATAGTTATAATTTATTAATTTAAATAAAAATTTAAAAGGTTCTATCTATCTATCTATCTATCCTATTTAAGAGCTGCGCTCTTGTCGGTAGAGCTCTTGCCACTATATTAATTGTCACTGATATGTTCTCTCACAGGGCAGAGAAAAAGGTATATTGAAGTTGGACCCTCGGCCTAGGGTCTACATTGACAACAAACATGAACTGACCCCTCAGGTACGTATCATTCTTATTTCTAAACATAAGTAAATGATTTTACATATCTACACACTGCGGTTCTAGTAGATTTAAATAATTTAGAAAGGGGGAAAGGGATTGTTAGTAATGGAGACTGAGAATCCCATTGCTAGCAATACATCCAACCAGGTCGACCTCCTCGCGGTTCCCCATGGAAATTATCATGGTTAATTCCTGATGAATTCATCATGATGGGCTAACTGGCCTGTTTTCATTCTCATCTATCACCCTTCACTGGTGCTCCGCCAGCGTAGCCCGTTAGCGCAGGCGGGGTTACCAATCCATTTTCACTCATAAAAAAAAATTAGAAAACAAACATACCTAAAAAATATACCTTTTTCTTTCTATTTTTTCTAATACATTATACCTTTTTTTTTACGCAACTTAGAATGGCAAACAAGCTAAGATCCCACCCGAGGGAAAGTGGCAACCCTATTGACATGAACAATACCCTGGACGTAACAGAGTAAACTGTTTCGGCCATGATACCCCCATGCATTGCCATTCCTGAGGACTAAGATGTTATGCCTGTAAGTTCACTGCCGTATTCCAACCTTCAACCGAAACACAACCATGCAAACACAACTGCTTCACGGTAGAAACACGAATGAGACAGAGGTACCCAAGCAAACGAATTTTGTACGAAGTTTCCCTCTTGTAAACCTGGTACCTGCTTTTTGTAGAGGCAGATCTTGGCTTTGCGAAACTTGTCTGTGTAGAGCTCAATTAATATTTAAATTAAAATTGTCATTTATATATATTAATAATGTAATACATTATTAATCAAATTGTTTATAATTACTCCTCTCCATCCAAAGGTTGCCTGGAAGAGATCGCTTACAGCGATAAGGTCGCCCATTGTTTTCTCACTGTGATTATTTCTTTTAATTGTTTATATTTATGATAAGTTTAGTATTGTAATCTTTTGGAGGAAACAATAAAGAGTATCTATCTATATTTTAATATATATATATATACATATATATATATATATATATATATATATATATATATATATATGTATATAAAATCGTTAGAGGCATTAATTACCCTATAACACTGTGACTAAAAATAAGTACTATATTATTTATAACTAGCTAATACTCGTGTCTTTGCCTGCGTGGTATTTGTTATTTCTGGTTAGGATGTATCGATGTATATACCTACCTATTTATTATGTCCAGAAATTATGGACTAAAATTAACAAATAACGTGTCTTTCTCACTCTTTGCCTTAGGTTAAAATTACTTTACTTATAAGTTCTATAATATTTTAACTATCCCACGGGAATTCTTTAATTTTCCGTGATTAAAAGTATCTAAAATGTTGACCGGGATGTAAGGTACCAACATGCAAAATTTCATTTAATTTGGTCCAACAGTTTCGGAGATTATTAAAAAAATTGAAATAAAATCTGGACGTGTTCTTTTTCACTTCTAACATTCCCCTGAATCGATTTTTACCGTTTTTTTATTTCTTTGTACAGACATTAAACCTCTACAGTTTTATTATATGTATATAGATTGATTACAGTTTTAAAATATTCAAGCGCGTGACTCGTTAACATGGAAGACTTTATATGTTCGGCGAAATGTGATCAACTATACAGTACTAGCTGACCCCGCGAACTTCGTACCGCCTAACGTTCGATTTTTTAAATTTTTAGTTTTTTTAATACTTCTTCTGCTATTCTGGACGCGAGTCAACTAGATTTATAATTATGTTACTAACGTCACTCAATTGTTTTGCTTTCCCGGAACCTCTCCAATAACACTTGAACTATATGTTATGGTGTTAAAGTTTAAATTGACATTTAAGTATTATTTCGAATTGTTTGTTTTTTAGGCATTTTTTTTTTTATTTTTCTCCCCGTAATAACCATCCTAGTGCTTCAAGGAACATTCTAAAAAGGAATTAGCGACGTGCTGAAGAAGGGCCAAATTAAAAGTACCCGTAACCGGCGAGCGTGTATGAAAAGATTGATGAATGTGGAAGAAGCGAAAGAGGTTTGTTTGAATCGAAGCATTTGGCGTTCCATTGTTTCTGCCTATCCTAATGGGAGACAGGCGTGACAGATATGTATGTATGAATTAGCGAAATTGCTTTAGCTGTTCCCGGGATTCGCGCTTAGCAACACATTCAGCGATTCGTTTTTATATTATAGATATTCACTAAAAAATTAGTTTTAATTTTATTTTTTAATTACGCTGAAAAGTCTACTTGCTTCAGAAATTTTTTTTTTATCCGACTTAGAATGGCAAACAAGCTGACGGCCCACCTGATGGAAAGTGGTAACCGTCGCCTATAGACATGAGCAGTACCATGGACATAACAGAGTATACTGATTCGCCCATGATACCCCCCATGCGTTGAAAATATTTTATATATTCAGGAAATATTTTATAGATGATAGAGGTATGGTAACACCGCCTACGCTATCGGTTTACGATACCGGGATACCGGCGATTAGTGATAGATGAAGATGAAGTCAGGTCAGTTGGCCCATCGTAACGAAATCGTGATGAATTACCACCCGACGGTTTTCAGGAAGGATCACGCGATAGTGGACCTATCACTGTATATGATAGATCCAATTATTAAGAATCCTTCTTGCTCTGAGCTTAACGGGAATCTCTTCCAGTCAAACTCTTCTTTAGGTGTTATATTATTATATCCTTGTGTACTTGTGAAAGTTAGTTTATTTATTACCTATTCGCTTCACCAATCACTATAAAATTTGGCTTATGTATAATAGCTGTATAAAGATCTAGGCTCCTTTTTTTTTGGGTCACGCGAACAAACCCGCAGCGCGGGTTTGGCTAGCATATTAATTAATTAGATGAGATAAAAAGTGTCCTGTACGTTAATCTGTAACACAGACTGTGTTTTTCTGTATACTTAACATACAAACATTCAACAAATATATATATATATACAATATCTTTCTTTCTTTTCTCAATGTTCTCTACCCAAAGGTTGTCTGGAAGAGATTGCTAAGCGGTAAGGCCGCCTTTTGTATCATTTCTTATTACATTTAAATGTGTTTACTATTTTATAAATGGTGCAATAGTGTAAATATATATATATATATATATATATATATATATATATATATATATATATATATATATATATATATATATATATATATATATATATATATATATATATATATATATATATATATATATATATATATATATATATATATATATATATATATATATATATATATATATATATATGTAATGTATTTTTTTATCCAAAAACATCTATAACACTCTCATACCATTTATGTCGTAAATGAAGTCTATTTTTTTTTTAATATAGCTGTTTTTCTTTCTAATTTCACACAAGCATAGCGGAATCAGTAACTAGTTCAGCCAACAAACGGGGCGCGACCTAACTGACAAAGCGGCCAATTAACAAAATGTATCAGTAGCTGCACGAAGCAAAGCACGGTTTCTAAACAAAATTTATCTTTTTTTACTCTAAATAATTTTGGCAAAGTAAAGTCGAATAGTAACCCTGCCTGGTCTATAGAACTTTTTTTTTAATGGATGATAATGGCATGGTAACCCCACCCGCGCTATCGGTATACACCGGCGGGGCACCAGTGAAGGATGATAGGTGAGGATGAAGCAGGTCAGTTAGCCCATCGTGACGAATTCAACGAGATGTGTTCACGATGGTTTCTAGGGGGAACCACGTGGAGGTCGACCTAATAGGGCATATTGCTAGCAATGGGGCTGTCAAACTTCATTGCTAACAATCCTTTTCCCCCCATGGTCTATAGGACTAATGACGATGAACTGTCCACTGTTGAACATGGACCTCCCTGTTGCAAGGTTTTGTCAGTAGTTACTGCGCTAAGCAGATGAATTAGCAATTACAGTTAGGCTTTGGTGAGACAGACCAGAGGGAGACTTTGTACAAAGGTCGATTGCTTGGGTACCTCTATCCCATTCGTGTTTCAACCGTGAAGCAGTTGTGTCTGCATGGCTGTGTTTCGGTTTGAAGGGTGGGATATGGCGTGAATTTACAGGGTACAGAGGAATAACATCTGAGTGCTCAGGAATGGCAACGCATGAAGGGATATCATGGGCAAAACAGTATACTGTGTTATGTCCATGGTACTGCTCATGTCTATAGGCGACGGTTACCACTTTCCATCAGGTGGACCGTCAGCTTGTTTGCCATTCTAAGTCGTATAAAAAAAATGTTTTAAAAGGGACGCTGCTGACCATCCCTGTAACATTAATTATCCTTAATTGCCTCTTACGACGTCCTAGCATAGAATAGGCCATCCCTTCCTTTCCTGTGGGTGTCGTAAGAGCCACCTAAGGGAGAGCGAGGGATTGGCAACAGCGTCCCTCTTAAAATATCTCCAAAGTCTAACTGTGATTGCTAGGGGGAAAAGGATTGTTAGTAATGGAGACTGAGAATCCCATTGCTAGCAATATACCCAACCAGGTCGACCTCCTCGCGGTTCCCCCTGGAAACTATCTTGGTAAATTCCCGATGAATTCATCATAATGGGCTAACTGGCCTGTTTTCATTCTCATCTATCACCCTTCACTGGTGCTCCGCCAGCGTATCCCGTTAGCGCAGGCGGGGTTACTATTCCATTTTCACCCATCATAAAAAAAAACTGTGATTGCCAATCCGCCTGATAAACCACTGGCGAAACCCCCCAAGGGTGAGGCTTATGTTCAGTTAAAGACAGTTAAAGACTGATATGATAACTGATATGATATGATGCCAATAAAAGCATCGAAGTACCCTTGAATATACAAGCGCAAACTGAGAACAGCACGGGCAATATAAAATGAACTAATCACGTCGCCTTACATAATAGTAAATTATGGTGTAATAAATCAATATTACTGATCACTGCCAACCTTTGTACGTGAAAAATCACTTCTTAATTATTATGCCGCGTGATATTAACTTCGGAGTGGGGGCGCGAGGCGGGGGTG